GAGTTGCGAAAACAAGGTCAAACAACTTCTATATATTTGTTTTTACAATAAATTATTGTTTTCGTGTCTACCAGTAAATCATTAATATGAGATGTATTCACCCAATTTCGTTTAAGGTGATGGAGGACTGGTAGAAGAATATGATATGGCATAAAGGCCTGGCATTCCTTAAAAAATTCACATTAGCCCTGTGACCCAAAAGGAGCTAGTGGCAGTGGAGCCAAGTGGTTAGCGTGTCAAGCTCCCATCCTGCACTGTCGCGGTTCGACTCCCGCTGAGAGTGTTGATAAGACCGATGCGAGCTGGAAACTGCAGTTCACTGGTGCCTGGATGAGAACAACTTTTGGGAAAGCAAGGCCATGTGAAATTGAATGGAAACGACAGCTCTACTCATATAATTGTGGGAAAATTCTACTACCAGTGCTTCATCACCTTAAACGAAATTTGGCGAATACATCTCTATAGATTTGGATTCGCCTGGCTTTACAACTTGGTCATACTGTCATGGCGACAAAGTTGATCGCACTTTGAGAGAAGACGTCTGCCAGAGTAGCCATGGCAATTTTCATGACTGAACCATGGACTTTGTACATGTACAGACGTTTCGCCAGCATCATCAGTAGGCCTTGCCATTCTTAGCTCTGACCTACAGCTTTCCAAAGACGCAAGTGAAATCTATGCTTTGACCAACTTCACCCGAACGATTGTGGAATCTCACCTTCTTCTGTCCTAGTACATCAAACTATCACTTTTCCTAGTTTCTCACTCCCTCCCAATTGCAGCTTCCAACTTGCTTATACTTGATTACTCTTTAGGTGTACCATATTGAGGAAGCTTAATAAAGTCCAAGTCCAAGGGCCTTCGCCAGATCTCATCATAATCACTCGGGCGGAGGACTTCGGATAAGGTGAGTTTACCTAGGTCACCCTGGCAACACGAGCAAGTTACGAAAACAAGATCAAGCCACTTCAAGTCTGGGAAGTGGAATGAACCGAAATCAAGGTGATAGCTTTGTCGGCAACGTGAAGTCTGGCGAAGTGAGAAAATGGGGTTTGTAATAAGAGTGAACTAAGGGCGAACTTTTGACCAACCTTCCTTCATTTTGGTATACCTTTCATTTCGTTTGGACAAGGATATGAAAGGGCTTTGGGAATCGGTGTTACCGAAAACCCATGAGGGATTGCCTTACAGTTATGACTGATTGGTTGTGCAAGGAAGACCTCGGTTCACCCTCAAGTGACCTTGATGAATCTATTATAAGTTTCCATCTGTAACATGGTTGATATAACCTACGTAAAAATTCATCAAAAAATCCCTTGGTTTAGTGTTTTAGTAAAATATTTCGTAGCATAGGTAGTAATAGGAACCTGGTTGAAGGGTTATTAATCCTATTTCTTGATTTTGTGAAATTATTAACAATAATTTTAATGTATAAGTATTCCTAAATAAATTTTTAACTCTTTATCCTGCCAATTTGAAACTGCTATACGCAAGCTACTTACTCCCTAATTATAATTGGAGAAGAAACTAAGAAAAATCCCTGATTTGTGTGTTTTCTGTACACATTCTTACCTTATTTTTTATTCTTTGCTAATTATGGTATTATAAAAGGATAAATTACAGTCGTTTTGTAACCTCATTTTACACTTATATCTCTGTTTTCTAAATTTGACCAATTCATCAATATCTTTTGGCAAAATTAGGCATCCATCCAATTAGAGAGTGAACAGACATCCAAGTATTCCATAATTTGTGTTGTCTGCTGAGGTGACATTTTGCAGTGCTCCTACAACTAGCTCATACAGACATTAGCCAACAGAGCTAAGATTGCTAAGCCCATAGTCAGATTAAATATTTGCCGATGCATTTTGACTGCTGAACGTGAACTAGGTAGTTCTTATCATTGGGTTGAACAATCCGTTTAAAGACTCCATCTTCAAGGCGTCGATTTCCATTTACCAGATCTCCATAAATGCCTTGAGCAGTTTCTCTCCTGATATGTTCGTGTCTATCGACTGAACACCAAACTCATTACTAACTCGCTTCCCTCTAAACTAGTACCTTTGCTTCGTTAGCAAAACTCATAACATTTCTTCACCGTATTCGATGGTTTGTCATTCATATTCTTTAATGTGAATCAGATGAATTTTGCTAGTTTCGGTCATACTACTTGTTTACTGGGGAGTATCAATCTCAGCAGTTCTCTTCCTTTGGGTAATGTTGGCAAAACTTATGCTATTTGGGATATAGCATCATTTTTTAGTAGTACATTCATTGACCATTTGCAGATTTTCCCTTTCGAATTCAATTCCATCAGATTCTCCTGCAATACACCTTTCGTATTGGAGTAGAATTTCGATACTATTAGTAAATCAGTAATATGAGATGTATTCATCCTATTTCGTCTAAGGTGATGAAGGACTGGTAGTAGAATTTTCCCACAATGATATGAGTTGGGCTGACGTTTCCATTGAATTTCACATACATTTCATAATACACCTTTAATTTTAACTTTTGTAACCTTTACTAGCAGCCGATACGTTGTTTTTTACCCAGAATATTTTCCCATTTTTATGCATACTCCTTTCTGTTAATCATTGCTATAGCACTTATGGCTCCATTTATAGACTTATTTGGTCGCTACTTTTTAATTTCCTATATTTCATAATTTTCTATTTCTATTTGCGAAGATTATTGGGATAATTATTACTTCCATCTCCTTTTTTTTATTCGTCCGGTAACTTCTCTGAGGTATTTTTCGCCTCCACAAAATGTCCATCGCTATTTTGGTTTCATTCCGAAGAGAAAAAGTCAATCTTTTATTGAGGATCCTCATGTTTTAAGGGCTGGGGGGAACTAATGCTAATTTTTATACTCTTTCTCTATCATTTATTTGATATGTGAAATTCGTCCTTCTATAAACCTCATCTTTTTGCTGGGTGGTTTGAAATAGGGCCGCCAATAAACCCCATATTTGCGCAGCTTCTTCTAGTGTCTCTTACTCATTAAAGTTCCGGATACGTTAATATTTTGTCTATTACCATTTGTAGCTTTCCAAAATCCTAGGGAGTAAGAATACTATCCATATCCTGCATATTTCTAAAATATATATCTAAAAAACTTCAATAACTTGCTCTGTTTTATATGAAATGCTTTAGCCAATTCCTACAGAGAAGCTTAATATAATATAGCATTAACCTTGTCAGAATGGTACTTTCTCACTAAATTGAATGACCCAACGAGGGATAGTATAAGGTTTGTAACTGCTTAGAAAGGTAAAATGACGAGATTAACTTACGATTATCTATTTGATATGCTCTTATCAATACATTTTATTGCATTCTTTCCGACATAATTAGCTCCTAGCTATGAATACCAAGATAATTTGTGGCGTTAGGTTTAATCACAGTTATATGAGATTTATTTAGTTTAAGGTGACGAGGGGTTGGTAGTTTAATTTTCCCACTATGGTGTGAGTAGAGCTAACGTTTCCATTGTATTTTATGTAGCCACCCTTCCCCAATTGTGTTTTCATCCAAGGTGGACTTCAGTTTCGACCTCGCCTAGGTCTTATCAAGACCCCCAGCGAGATTTGAACCAAAAAAGTGCAGCGTGTAATCTCGACACGTTAACCACTACACAACAATGATACAAGCGCCCTGGGTTAACAGGACAGATGTTAATTTCAAAGAAGGCCTGGCATTGTCCCATGTCATATTCTTTAATTGGAATTTCGATAAAATAAAGTTATATTTGCTATGACAATCGACTAGATTACTTATATTTCCGTAGTTTAATTGAATATATGAAGACCAACATGTTGTGGCCTCTGGTGTGGTCGCAGTCTCCTTTCTATTTATAGCAGTGGGTTGACCTCGTTGTCGCAACTTGGTCTTGTTGTCAGGGAGACTATGTAGGACGCACCTAGTCCGAAGTCGTCTGCCATAGTAGTTGTCATGATTTCCAACATCTGAAAGTGGACTTGATACATTCTTAAACGTTTCGCCGGCATCGTAGTCGGCATCATCAGTCAGTTTTGCCGTTCGCCGCACCGAGTTACGAACTCGTCAAAGAGACAGGTTAAGTCAGTGATAGGGCGGCAGTGGGATAAGAGGGTAAAGAGTAGATAGATAGACAATGACAGAAAGAGGAGTGATATTAGGACGGCAGTGGGATAATAGGGTAAAGAGTAGATAGATAGACAATGACAGAAAGAGGAGTGATAGTGTGAAATGAAAAGTTGTGATAGGACGGCAGTGGGATAAGAGGGTAAAGAGTAAATAGATAGACAATGACAGAAAGAGGAGTGATAGTGTAACGTTTCTCTAGCAGAACGGTTGTCGATGGATTGACTTCACTTGTCTCTTTGACGAGGTCGTAACTTGGTGCGGCGAATGGCAAAACTGACTGATGATGCCGACTACGATGCCGGCGAAACGTTTGAG